GAGGGGACGCTGGAGCCACTGCTGCCACCCCCGGACCCCGAGTCACAGCCGCAGCCGGCGCTGCCTCCACCACCCCAGTCTCCCTACCACCAGCTGGACTTTACCCACAGCCTGAGCTTCGACGACGGCTCCCAGGGCTTCCCGGACAGCCTGGAGCCTGGCCACAGTGCTTCGTTCCCTTCCCTATCCAAGAAGGAGCTGGACTTGATGCTGATGCAGGACACCATGCTGCCCCTGGCCTCCGATCCCTTGTTCTCGGCGATGTCCCCGGAGGCCTCCAAGGCCAGCAGTCGCCGGAGCAGCTTCAGCATGGAGGATGCAGACATGCTGTGACGAGGAGCTGCTCCAACACTGGGGGCGAGGACTGGACCTTCAAGTTTGGTTAGTGAAGTTACAGGGCACTCTTCTCGCAGGAGGAGCCCATCCTGCCACGCACTTGAATCTACGTAGGAGTACCTTTTCTCTATGCAACGGGGGTCTCGGATCAAGGCTCGCCGGGTACCGCCGTGTCTTTCGCAAGCTTTTTTTTTTTGCCAGGAGCTGGAGCGGACCTTCTTGGCTTGCCGTGGCGTTGGCCTGACTGCAGATTCCCCAGCCCAGGAGCGTGATCTCGGCTGCTTTGCCTTTCAGCGAAACCCTCCCGGACTGTCCCCCTTCCCCAGGGTGCTGGCCCAGAGCCGGAGCGGGCAGGAACCTTCGAGTCCCTGGGAGGAGAGGGACGATGCTCAGAGCTTTTTCTCTGGCTTGCTGCCTCCTTGCCGCCTTGCTCCGGGAGCCCACATCCCCAACGAGTCTTCCCCAGCGGTGGCCTCCGAGCCCGGCAGATGCTTCACGGTGCCACATCCTTCACGGTTCCTCCTTCCTTGGAGCACGCGCTGCCTCTCCGGGTTGCAGGGCTGGAGGGAGAAGAGGTGCTTAACTGGAGCAAGTTAATTCATGGGGCATGGGGGGGGTGTTGTCTGAGTGAGCTGGGTCTGAGGCTACGAATTTGGGTCAACGTTGAGGGCTTCCAAACTGGCCGGGACAGGGTGTTTGATGCTCGCCCAACCCCCCGCTGTGACCCCCAGCTTTCAGGAGGACCCCCCTTCAGGGTTTGGCAGCACCCACCACCTCAAAACCTCGCTGGCTTCTGGACAAGGGCTGCATGGTGCCAGGCGACCTTCAGCCTCCCTCGAGACATCCCCACAGAGCTGCCTCTGCCCCGTAACACCAACCTGTGGCTCTTCAGGTGGAAGGATAAAGGGTTTTTACACTTTTTTGGGGGGGAATACTTGCTGAAAGCGGGTGTCCTGCCCCACATCTGGGCATGGAGGTCCAGGCTCTGGCTGGGGACCAGGGAACGGTTCGTACCGATTGCCAAACCTGAGCCGCCGCTCTCTGCTTTAGGCTCGCATGGTTTATTTCTCTTCCCAGCGTCGCCAGCTCGTTCCCCAGCCAGGACGGCTCGGTGATGGGGAGCTGCTTTGGGCTCTGCATCATCTTCTGCCTTCTGAGCCCGGCTGGCGGTGGGGAGGGAGCTGGGCAGGGGAGGGGGACACTGTTCACAGGGAAAATACCGCACAAATTTGTTGTAAAGCCCGAAGGGGAGCACAGGGAAGGCTGGGGAGAAGAGACCCCTTTGTGATCCCGCACTATGGCACAGCATCACCCCCCCCGGGCCATGGGAGCTGTGGCTGGATGGACAGGAGCCCATGCGGGGATGGGGGTCACTGGGTGCAGCCCGTCCTGGACCAAGGATGGGGGATGTCACGGGGTTGGGACCGCGAGGGGAAAGCCCAGCCAAGGAGGGACAAGCTTGCTCCATCGTGGCTGGATTTGGGGGAGTGGGGGGTGGGGGAGGGCCCCCCTGGAGAGGTGGGGGGCCTGTTGGACATGAGGGTGTGAGGAAGTGCAGAGGGTGGGGAAGAGAGGGGGAAAGGAAGAGGGAGGACGTGTCGGAGGTGTCCTAGAGCGCTGGGGCAGGGCAGGGTCTGGCTGCTGCCCTGCAGGGGTGCAGGGAAGGGAGCGGAGGGGACGTCGGGGCGCCGGGTGAGGGGCACCG